TCAATCCATTATGTTAAAGATTATTACTCAGAACCAAGCTAGCTTCATTGCTAGCTGTAGTATCACCGATAATATTCTTGTGGCACGGGGAGTCATCCACTCTATGAAAAGGAAATGTGGCACAACAGAGTGGATGACAGTTAAAGTAGACCTTGAAAAGGACTATGACAGGGTTGGCTGTGATTTTCTTGAAGACTCACTGGTGGACATGGGTTGCATTGATTGTACTTGCCGCATCATCATGAGCTCTATTACGTCCTCTTCAGTCCAAATCCTATGGAACGATCCCTTGTCTGACGAGTTTAAACTGACTAGAGGCATCCGTCAGGACTGTCTTCTCTCTCCTTATTTATTCATCATTCATATAGAGTGATTAAGCCAAAGCATTCAGTATGCTTTGGATATTGGGCTCCGCGGTGGCCCCCTACTCTCTCATCTATTTTTCATCGATGACTTGGTCCTCCTGTGTACAGTTACCCCTAATCAAGCAAACCTTCTGGGTGTCATTCTGGACCAAATTAGTAGATTCTCGGGCCATAAAGTGAACTCTATTAATACTCAAGTCTTTTTCTCCTCCAATGTTGACGACTTTCTCGCTAATGCCCTTTGCTCAACTCTTGGCTTCCAATGAACTATGGCCTCAGGCAAGTATCTCAACATGCCTTTTTTTAACAACTAAGTCACAAAAAACACATTTCAATTCATCTTGGATAAATTTTGGAACAAACTTAGTAATTGGACTGCTTTTAAGTTCTCTCTTACAGGTCGTGTGACGTTGGCGAAGGCTACTCTTCTTGTTGTTTCTAACTACTTCATGCAAACTGTAGAAATTTCCAGGGAAGTTTATGGCCAAATTGATCAACCAGTCAGACGTTTCATATGAGAGGTACCGATGAATCCCCAAATTGCTCTTTTGTTTAGAGGTCATTATCCCATGTTTACCCCTTTATCCGCACCGCATGAGTAGAACACGAATAAGGTATTTAGAAATGTACTCAGCTTGTTTTATTTGAAAAACCAAGATAGCCTTTTTATAGAAGGCTTTTACACAAGAAAAAGATGTTAGAATAATGATGACAGTGCTAACAAAAATAACAAACTTTAAAACAGAGTCCAGCTAACATCTTAACAACCAATGACCTCTGCTACCAGCTCATGCATAGCCACATCATATGTCAACAGGCTTCCTGCTCCTATTTGTTTTCTTTATCCTTAACCTGAACTTTCAGACGAAAAACTAGAAAGTTGGTTGGAATGTGTTAACGGTTTTGTAAATCCATCGACTGTTTGAGCATCAGCTGGAACATAATTGACTCTCAAACAACCATCAGCAACCTTTTTTCGAACGAAGTTGACGTCCAATTCGACATGCTTTGAACATGCATGAAACACGGGATTAGCGCTCATAGCTACGGTGCTAGTTTTGTCACTCCAAACAACATCAGTCTGAGTTTGAGTTATTCCCATGTCCGACATGAGCGCCTTCAACCACACGATCTATAAGACTATATCAGCTATGTTGCGGTATTCAGCCTTGTGGTGGACCGAGACCCATTTTTCTTACGAAAGCACCACGAAACAAGGTTATTACCCAGGAACACACATGACCCCGAGACCGAGCATCTATCGTCTCGATTACTTCCCCAGTAGACGTCTGCAAAGGCAATTATACTGGTAGGTTAGCTAGATGGTCGAAAAACCAATCCAAAGTCCAAAATGCCCTTCAAGTAACGCAAGATCCATTTGACCGTAAAAAACTAATGATATGAAATTTATTTATTTTTCAATGATAACGTAATATTATCTTGTAATGATACATAAATATCACCGTTAAATTTTTAACGGTGAGTATCAAATTGAAATCTAAATTCAATATCAATTATGATTTTTTAAAAATAAATTGAAGTACCAAAAATAAAATAAAATTTATGTACTAAACATGTAATTTTCTCATAGAAAATGGGAAAATTGAGTAATAACATTCTCGGTTTAACATTTTTCTTCGGATGTGTCCCACCATCAACCCATACATTACCATTCCTTAAAGTTGTTAATTATTTGAGTAAGGGGTGAGACTAGGGATGGGCAGGCTGGGTTTTGATCATGGTTTTTCATAATCGGACCGGTTAGTGAACCGGTCATACTATCGGTTTACTGGTTCAATCGGTCGAATCGGTTTGATCGGTCGGAAGAACCGGACGACGTCATAATTATTTAAAAAATTAAATAAAAATATAAAAAATATTTAATAAAAAATAATTTTTTATATCACAAGTCATATTCAAAGCAAATCATAACATATATAAGTTAAAGACCATAAAATTAAGTGAAACAAAATGATTCAAATTAACTACAATATAATATTTAAGGTAAAACATATTAAATAATAAATATAATTATATAACTATAATTTAAAAATAAATTTGGGGCTAAAAAATCATAACAAAATGATATTGTTTGGTTTAATTTTTTTTAAAAACAATCCCACATGGCTAAGAAACATAGAAGAGCATCTCAACTAACTTCTATAAATAATAAAGGTAATTTGGCATTCAAAATCATGGAGCCTTTTGATGAGCATTGAGTGAATTATTTTTTCACTTTAATCAAGCTCAATTTTAGGCTTCAATCGAGCTTCTAAATTTTTTTTTAGTTCAAGCCTTTTCGAGTTCAAGTTTCAATATTATATTTCGAGTTCGAGTTGAACTTGATAATTTTTAGCTTGAGAGTTTGAGTCGAGTTGAGCTTACTTTTAAAGTTTTCAAGTTCGAGTCGAGCTCAGCAATACTCGAGTTCGACTTGGCTCGTTTAACAAACGACGTTGTTTGGTTTATTTATTTATTTTTTTAAAAAAAATACAAAATTGGTGGTTTTTTCTGGTTTTCAGCCGGTCCAGTTTGAACGGTTCAGCGGTTCCGGCCGGTTCACTAGTAGCGGTTCAACCGGTGTAAATTGAACCGGACTAGGCAGCGGTTCCCGGTTGAATCGGCCGGTCCGGTCTGGTTTTCAAAACAATGGTTTTGATCAACTTATCCTGATTTGAAAAATATATATTCTCCACCGATTCAAATTCGTCCCAATTTTTGATAGAAAATCTGAACCTTGATCTTAAAAATATATATTCTCTACCGATCAGAATTCGTTCCAATTTTTTGACAGAAAATCCGATCCCGACCCAATCCCACCCGAAATAATAATAAAAATAGTGATTTATATTAAAAATAATAATATATATAGGGCTTTATTGTAATTATTTCTAAATATATAAAATAAAATTATATTTTTTTTGGGTCGGGTCGGATGTTTTTCACCCTAAACCTGAATCCGACCCGAACATCACCTTTTAAAAAATATAACCTAACCCAACCGTGAAATTAAAAAAAATCTAACCCAATACAATCGATTCAGGTCGAAACCTATCAGATTCGGATCTCATACCCATCCCTAAGTGAGTCATTTTCAATCACAATTCTAGTTTTGTTTTTTCCAATAAAATGGCAACCACAAACTCCCTTTGTTGCTACTTTTCTTCAACTTTATGTTTTATTAAAAAATTATCTAATTGTATTTTAGATTTTTAACATTTTAACTTTAAGAGAAATTATATTTTTATTTATTCTAATTTTTAGATTAAATACCTAATAAATTTTTATTAATTTAAATTTAAATAATTTTTAATTTTTAATATTAATTCTGTCTCTTTACTTCGTTTGTATGATAATTCCCATTTAGATTAAACATTTCAACTCCAAATAGAAGAAAAAGTCATAATTTCCGAGTATAAAAATTGTACGAATGCACAATTTTATATTTTTATATTAGGGGTGAATTTGAACGTAGAGACATAATTTGAATTTATAAAATTTCAAGAGATAAAATCATAATTTTAATATAAAATACATAAAAAAATTAAAATATATGATAATTTTAATTTTTCGGAGGTGACGGTCCATCCAATAAATGCTAGCAGTTTTTGTATTCTTTGTATTTTTAAAGGTTAAAGTACATATGTGGTCATTAAATCATATTAAAATGATCTTTTTTATCACTAAAGTCTTAAAAGTTATAAAATGGTCATTAAACTTATTGAACTGTTGCAAAATGGTTATTATAAATTATAAAATAATGATAAATTTTGATAAGTTTAAGGGTTATATTATAATACTTCAAAAAGTTGAATGAATATTTTATAATATTTTGATGAAGTCCGCTTTGTAACCATTTGAGAAGTTTAATAATTGTTATATCATTTTTAAACTTCAATGATAAAATAAATATTTCAACATAACTTAATGATCATTTGTATAGTTTATGGTTTTTTTTCAATCTAACCCATAACTTTTACTTTTATGAATTTATTCTCACTATTATGAGTTAAACTTTAATCTTTTAAAAAAGATTCAATTATTAAAATATCATGTATTTAAAAACGCAAGTTCATTAATAGTGTTATTAATTGAACTTTAATTTTAAAATCAGATAAGTTAAAGTATTAAATTCTCGAAGATAAAAGTAAAGGACAGATTTTAAAAATCCGGAGATTACAGGGACTGAATACAGAATTAAACCTTAGTGTTTTAGTCACACAACACAAGTCCAATAGCTTCGATTAATATTTTTGACTTCTGACAATTCTAAGTTGACCAGAGCCGACGGCTTCCGTCCGTGTCGTGCATGGCATAATATCATATTAAAGGACGCGTTTCGAAATCGTCTCTCTTCTGTTGCGTTATTTTTCCCCAGTAAGAAAAATCAAAGGAATTTAAGTTTGACAGTGGAAGTGATGGATTTATTTAATTTATTAGGGGAAAAACGAATAAATTTTGATTTTTTTTGTGGGCATTACCATTAAATTTGAAGTTTTTGTCGGTGTTAAATAAATAAATTAATTAAAAGCACTTTCGTTACTTTTGCTTTAAACTTTGAACCTTCGTGCCTCTCTCTCTTCTTAAAAACCTTTGGTCGAGTTCTCCCAATGCTTGCTTTCCTTTTTCCCGAGAAACCCAAACCCTTTTCTCATTAATCAAATTTAGTGTTGGGGTTCTTCCCGTAATCCATTTTTCGGTTTATTAGCGTTGGTCAAGCCTGGGAAGCCAACACTTTCCGTTTCTGTTTTTAGGCCTTTTGAAGTAGACGATGAAGCGATCGAAATTTGAGTCGTTAACGTATCCGTCTCGGTTCAGGGTAGTTAAGTTATTGATTGGGGTTTTATTTCTCTACCTTTTGCTTGTTAGCTTCGAAATCCCGCTGGTTTTCAAAACCGGTTCGGGTGGGTTGTTTACTGACTCATTGCCGAGGCCTTTGTTTCTCGAGAGCGAGGAGGACTTCAGTTACAAAACCGCGCCGGCTCGACCCGACAACGATCCGAACCGTGTCCGTCGTGCAGGAGGAGAGGGAAAAGTTGGGGAGTTCGAGGGAGTTTCGGGTCTACACTTTAATGAGAGCTCTTTCGACAGCATCGGCTCCGAAGGCGAGTTGTCGGTGCTACAGAAAACCGTACGACACGCTTTCGTAGTCGGCAGGAGACTCTGGGACGACCTCCAATCTGGTCAAAAGAAACACGATTCGAAACCCGAACAGCAACACCAAAACAAAAATAAAACAGAATCATGCCCGGATTCAATTTCCTTATCCGGGTCGGAGTTCGTGAACCAGGGGAGGATCCTGGTCCTTCCTTGCGGGTTAACGCTAGGGTCCCATATTACGGTGGTCGGAATGCCGCATTGGGCGCATGCAGAGCATGATCCGAAAATTGCAGTCTTGAAAGAAGGGGACGAGTCATTGATGGTATCGCAATTCATGATGGAATTGCAAGGGTTGAAGACGGTGGACGGCGAGGATCCGCCTCGGATCCTTCATTTCAATCCGAGGTTGAAAGGGGATTGGAGCGGGAAGCCGGTGATCGAGCAGAATACTTGTTATCGGATGCAATGGGGATCGGCGATGAGGTGCGAAGGGTGGAATTCGAGAGCTGATGAAGAAACAGGTTATATTTTAATGGCTTTTATACTTTTCAGTGCATTTGAGTCAATGCTAAATTAAGAGAGAATGTAGGTTGAGAAAAGGTTGAAAGTGTTGTGTTGCTTAGTTTTTTAATAATGGTAGGTAGTGAAGTCGGTTATGGTATTGCTTTATGATCTTGTGGGGAATGAGATGTTTTAAAAGATACTTATATAGTTACATAATCTTTTTACTGATTTGCTGATTGTTTAGTTCTTTCTTTGGGTAGTTGATGGAGAAGTTAAATGTGAGAAGTGGATTCGGGACGATGACGGTGGGTCGGAAGAATCGAAGGCGACATGGTGGTTAAACAGATTGATAGGAAGGAAGAAGAAGGTGACACTAGATTGGCAGTACCCTTTTACAGAGGGAAAGTTGTTTGTTCTCACGTTGAGGGCTGGTTTGGAGGGTTACCATGTCAATGTCGATGGGCGTCATGTGACCTCATTTCCTTATCGAACTGTGAGTATCATCGTGTTTTTGGCTTAATGATTTGATGGAAAGCTATGACACCTTATAAACCTTTTGATGGCATTTACAGGGATTTGTGCTCGAGGATGCTACAGGGTTATCTCTAAAGGGTGACCTTGATGTGCACTCTGTATTTGCTGCTTCCTTGCCTAATTCACATCCTAGTTTTGATCCGCAAAAGCATCTCGAGAGATTGAGTAAATGGAAGGCGCCTGCACTTCCTGAAGGAGATGTAGAGCTTTTTATTGGCATCCTTTCTGCTGGCAATCATTTTGCTGAGAGGATGGCTGTGAGAAAGTCGTGGATGCAGCATAAGTTAATTAAGTCTTCGAAAGTTGTTGCTCGTTTTTTTGTAGCACTGGTAAGCATAGATAAAGGGGGAACAGGTTCTTTCCTTAGGAAATTTCCCATGCTTGATATATTTACTTTTATTTTTCAGAGTGGAAGAAAGGAAGTAAATGTTGAGCTGAAAAAGGAAGCGGAGTATTTTGGTGATATTGTTATAGTTCCCTACTTGGATAACTATGACCTAGTTGTTCTGAAGACAGTTGCCATTTCTGAATATGGGGTGAGCACTCCGATGATCCCACGATGCCTATTTTACTCTTGCTAAAATTCTGTTAACTGATATAGTCTATGTTGTCTAACACTAGTCTTGTACACATTTTAGCTTGGGTGTCGGGAACAATCCTCCAAATATATGTTAAAACTTTTGAATGTACCTGTGTCAGACACATTCATATTCGTCACTCTGTTCGTGTTTGAGCAACATAAGATTTAGTGCATATAAAAACATAATTGCCATATATTGTTTCTTAGTTGTAAACTCTCAAGTCCTTAGCTCTTGTATGCTTTTTGTCACAGGTCCGTACAATGGCTGCAAAACATATTATGAAGTGTGATGATGATACATTTGTTCGGGTGGATTCTGTGATCGAGGAAGCAAAGAAGTTTGGAGATAAAAGCATTTATATTGGAAATATGAATTATTACCACAAACCCCTGCGCGATGGTAAATGGGCAGTAACATATGAGGTATGTCAGAAATTTGTTTCACGTTTTTAACTAATGCTTCCCGGAAGCTACCTGAGCTGTGAATGCGGGAAATGGTAATGTTTTAGTGATAGTTCTTGCTCTAGAATGATTAGCATGAAAGGTTTCTTTTGATCAGCCAGAAACTGACTTGGAATTTAGAATTTTACTTGTAGGTAGCTAAACCTGTCCTTGCTTTAGCTATAACTATGATTACATCTTTACGTCTTAACCTGAGTCGACACGGCCTTCAGTCGACTTATAATCAGTGATCATCTCTTAATCGTCATCCCCATCATGTTTAGCGCATAACATCGTGCGCACATCATCATAATCTACATATTTTGTTGATATCCAGGAATGGCCAGAAGAAGACTACCCACCCTATGCGAACGGTCCAGGGTACATAATCTCATCCGACATCGCTCAGTTTATCGTAACCGAGTTTGAGAAACACAAGTTGCGAGTAAGTGAGCCATTTTATTACACTTCCACTCTGCATGTCCGTTAAACAGCGGTATATGTTCGATAATCGTTGATTAAAAACGCCATTGTTGCAGCTATTCAAGATGGAAGATGTGAGCATGGGAATGTGGGTGGAGAAATTCAACAGCTCGAAGCCAGTCGAGTACCAACACAGCTTGAAATTTTGCCAGTTCGGATGCATAGAGGATTACTTCACTGCCCATTACCAATCACCGAGACAAATGTTATGCATGTGGGATAAATTAGTAAATCAAGTAAAGCCCCAATGCTGCAACATGAGATGACAACAGTTATACAAAACAAAATGAATAGATATAGTTTTTACTTGCACTGTGGTAAATTTGAGAGAAAAGCTTTAACAAATTTTGGTAAAACTGTATATATGGTGTTTAAGACCAGATATTGTGGGAACTCTCCCACTCCCCCACTTGATTCATTACTTCAGCAACATTGCCCACAGTTCTTCCAGGGATGAGTATTCGATTGGGTCGAGTAAAAGAATTTCAAGTGAGTAAAATTGTTTCAAGTTAGTCAGGTTGATGTGTCCTATTCTAGGATTCAAATTTTATTTTAAATTTTTAAAAATCAAAGTGAGTTTATAAAATTTGAGTAGAAAAGTTTTTTTTTAATTTATTTTTTATCTTTTACCTATTAGTTTCAATTTAAACGAATTTCTCTAACTATATGTATACACACATTGGTTTCAATTTAATTGAAATTTGAGTTGAGTTTGGGTTTTCCAAGCTGCTTATCTTTGTTCCCTCATATTTTTGTAGGTCATGGGTTTTAAATTCACTAGGAACACTCATCTTCATTCTCCAAGAGTACACCCCTCCCCTTCGCACTAGGTATGATAAAGATTAGATTTATCATTTGTCAAAAATTTTAAAAATATATTTTTAAGTAATATATCTTTTAAGATAAATTATTTATGAGAGTATAAAAGAGTAAAAGGAATTGATAGGAGGGAAAAAATACAAAAAATGAATGAAATTATCAAATTGAATAAAATAGGACTAAATTAAAAAAATAAATTTATTGCTAATACTAGGAAAAATATTTTGTAATATTAGTGGAGCATATGATTTAAATTTTGTTAAAATAAACTTAAAACGGAAGAGTAATTGAATAAATAAGGAAACCATGCAAAGTTGAGGAATGAGATTAAAAAAAATAGAAAATTTATTTTCAAAAAGAAAAATTGAAACTGCATATGTATTCTACAATAATTTAAGAGTGTATAAAAGTTTAAGTATTAAAATAGACTAAAATTGATAGTGTAAGTACTAAATGCGTAGTTTATCCTATATATAAAAAGAACATCTTTTTTTTTAAGGAATATAAAAAGAACATCTAATTTAACGCAATTATCCCCAATATCGATAACAAATTAGATAATATAAGATACGAATGTTTAAATTGTATTTTAGATATTATAATGAACGAAGTTATTTTTTAATTAAATTAATCTAAATATTTTTTTATATTAAATAATTCAACGATTTATTCTATAATTTTTTTCTTTGTCGAAGTTTGACACTTTAAAAAAAACGAAAATCGATTATATAGATGAATTTAGAATAATAATTTTAGACCATTTCAAAATTGATGATGTATTATAATTTTATTAATAATTAAAAATATTTTTAAATAATTCTAATATAAATTATTTCACATATATAATATTTCTGGGTTAATATATAAAGAACCAACTCATTCAAACTTGATTTTGGAAAAAAAAACATTTAGACTTGTTCAAAGTCAACTATAGAAAGAGCATTTAGATCTTTTAAAAATTAAAGATAAGGTTTTAGAAAAAAAAATATTTTAAATCCAAATTCTGTGACGTGTGAGTAACATACGTGAATTTTATTAAACTTTATTATAATTTAAATAATATTTTAATTATTAATTTGATTGTACTCTATAGCTGTATTTATAATTTTAGAAATATTGCACCAAAAATTTAATTACAATTTTCAAACAATTAAAATAGTGTTGTAATTTGTAAATGAGACAAAATAGATCTTAAATTATTTAACTTTGACTCGGTCAATACTCGATTCAAACAAATTCAATTTAAATTCTTAACAATCCGAAGTGAACTAATTGATATTCAACTTGGAAAACTTACGAGCAATTTGAAAAAAAATATTAAAATTTTAGTTTTTAAAATTAAATTATTAATAATATTTATATTTATATGTGTTTTTAAAATGTAGTATAAATTTTCATGTACTTAATATTCAAGTTCAATGTCAAATTTGAACTTGAACTGAGCTAAGTTGAATAATATTTCGAGTTTATTTTTTTTAGCTCAAACATAATGCATGTCAATATTTATATGACAATTAATTTTAATGATTTTATTAACGAGAGGATGTATTAGCATATAATGATAGTTTATGAACGAAATTGAAATGTTCAAAAGTTAGGGGACCAATTTAAAATTAGAATCATAGTTTGATGATGGAATTGGAATATTCACAAGTTTGGAAACCAATTTATAATGAGATTCGTAGTTTGTGGACGGAATTAGAATGTTCAAAAATTTAAAGATCAATATAAAATAATTTATAGTTTTAGGATAAAATTGGAATGTTCAGAAGTTTGAGAAATAATTTAGAATAAAAATTATAATTTAAGGATAAAATTGGAATGTTCAAACATTTAAAGACTAATTTAAAATGATCGTCCTAGTTTGAAGATGAAATTAAAACGTTCAATAATTTAAGAAGTAACTTTTAAAAAAAAGTCATAATTTAAAAATAAAATTAAAATATTTAACAAGTTAAGAATAAATTTAGAATGAGAGTCGTAGTTTAAAGACATACAATATAATTTATTCGATATAAATATATATTTTTTAGTATTATTTTTCTACGTAAAGTATATAAATGGTCCTCGATTATAGTGTACTACTTTATTAAGTCCATCGACTATTAAAAGTTACAAATAATCCTTCAACTATAGAATGTTACTTTATTAAGTCCATCGACTATTAAAAGTTCCAAAATGGTCATCCAACTATTCATATGTTCCAAACTTATCATTTTCTGTTAAAAATCGGTGGTTGTTTAATCTGGACGTTAACATGGTGACTGAGATATGATAATCGTTTGAGATTCTGAAATCAAATTTTATCATATCACTGTCAGTAGGTTAACGTTCAGCTGAGAATATCATCAAATTTTTAACAAAAAAATGAAGATTTTAGAACATGGGGAATAGTTAGGTTATCATTATGTAACTTTTAATAGTCGAGTGACTCAACAAAGCAACACTATATAGTCGAATGGTCATTTTGTAACTTTTAATAGTTGAATGACTTAATAAAATAGTACATTATAGTCGAAGGACCATTTATGTAATTAACCCTACTTTTCTGTACATTAAAAAGGTAAACGGAGTGTTAATTGATTGAGAATATTTAAGCATAATGTCTCAATCTATAAATAAATAAATAAAAGAATATCCGTGGAAATGAAAGAGCTGGACCGATCTGAAATTTCTCTGGAGCCTTGTAATGGACGTCGCTCTCTTTACATCTCCCATCTATATATATCCGCCTGTGTGAAACTGAGCACTGCACAGCACACATCTTTTATTGCAGTTCCAAGAGGAAAGGAAATGGGCGAGAGCAGCGTGAAGGTGCTGGGAGCATGGTCGAGCCCATTCGTGATGAGGGTCAGGATCGCACTTCACCTGAAATCCCTCAACTACGAGTTCGTAGAAGAAAACATGATGCAAGGCAAAAGCGAGCTTCTTCTCAAATCAAACCCCGTTCACAAGAAAATCCCTGTCGTCATCCACGGCGGTAACCCCATCTGTGAGTCCCTCGTCATCGTTCACTACATCGACGAGGTCTGGCCCTCCGCACCTTCCATTCTCCCTTCCGATCCCTACGAGCGCTCCGGTTCTCGATTTTGGGCTGCCTGTGTAGACGACAAGGTATGTATACACAACCAGAGCCAGCTCAGGAGGGGGAGCAGCATGAGCTCCGGCTTAAGACTTCAGCTTCCAGCTTCATAAAATAATAAAAATAGGGTAAATTACGTGTTTAGTAACTAAACTATCGGTTTTGATCTATTTTAGTACCTAAACTATCATTTTTTCAAAACAATACCTACAATTTAGTTTTTGTTTCATTTTAGTACCCAATGTTAAAAATTTTAGTTTTTGTTTCATTTTAGTACCCATCGTTAAAAACTTTAGTTTTTGTTTCATTTTAGTACCCGCAGTTAAAAATTTTAGTTTTTGTTTCATTTTAATGCCCACCGTTAAAAACTTTAGCTTTTGTTTCATTTTAGTACCCCTTTCAAAATTTAGCTTTAAGTTTTGAAAAATTGAAAGTTTAGTTACTGAAACGAATAAAAATGATAGTTTAAGTATTAAACGCGTTAAGTTTTAACGGCGGAGTACTAAATGAAATGAAAACTAAATGTTATGTATGGTTTTGAAAAAATTGAAAGTTTAGGTAATAAAACGAATCAAAATTAATAGTTTAGGTACTAAATATGTAGTTTACCCTTGTTTTAATTAGTGTTGTAAATGAAACGAGTCGAGTTTATGTATTATTAAGCTCGACTCAAATTCAAAAAGTTTAAAGTTGAGTTCGATTTGTCTCAAAAACTCACGAGCTTAAAGTTGTCAAGTTCGACTTGAACTCGAATAAAAAATTGAAGATCGATTCGAGCTCGAAAAAACTTAAACTTGAAACATTCTTACACTTAGCTTTGTTTAACTTGAACTTGAGCACGATTCAAACTCGAACTCAAGATCAAACACAAACCTTAAATACATGAAAAACTTTATATTGCATTTAAAAAAATAACATATAAATGTTAATATTATTGATAATTTAATTTAAAATATTAAAATTTTAATATAATATTTTTTAGTTGCTTGCTCACAAGCTTTTCGATGTTGGTCTCAAGTAACTTACTTCGACTCGTTAAGAACTCAAATCAAATTCCACTTTAATTCTGTAGACACTCATTTTTTACTGGGTTTTATATTTTTATTTTCATTATTATAATTTATTTATTATTATTATTAATATTTTTTATTTTTGCAGGTCCATGTTCAACATCAACTATCCCAACAACACCACATCACCTGGTGGTTAACTTCCCACGTTCCAAAGGCTCTCTTCCACGTACAACAAATGCCGAAAAAGCAGGGAGCATTTCCCATATTTTTTTTCATTTAAAATAGGGATTTGCCTACTGCACAGTGCACAGGGGGGATAGAAAGAAAAATCAGCTGAAAAGAAAAATAGAAACGAAAAAGGAAGAATAAAGGCTCGTTTAGGGAAGCGGGGGCATTTGATCGACTACACATCTTCTCCGTCGATTTTGACTTCCAGGCCTTTTATCTGGAACCGTCTTCTTTGCTTGGTATCGTGCCTCGTAGTGGACATGATTCACACGAAGTTGATGAAGATATGTGCCTGGCTCTAGCTCATCACATGGTGTTATGGAAATATGGCAAATGCTTGGAAGGAAAAAGCAAGTGCTTACATGCGAAAAGGAATATTAAACGAGGCTGCACAATGTTGCCATCAAGCACTGCAATTAAATCCTCTTTTGGTTGACGCTCATAGTGATCGTGGAAATCTAATGAAGGCTAAAGGGCTGATGAATTCTCCATCTTCGAAGCTTTACAGCAATGGGAATTCTATGAATGATGAAAAGAACAAGTCGTTTGCTCGAAAAGTAGTTTCCTTCGTCTTGATTACTGTAACAGGCGGTGTCGCCTTGAGTGCTCTTGACGACCACGCCATCCACCATGGCTGTAGCAGAAAAGCAATGGAGAAAGCCACTCACAAGAGGCAATCTGTATCTTGCACATTCCCCGTGTCTGGACCACAAGGCGATGGAGTATTACAATTGAAGGCAGTTCGAAACAAAGCTTTACGACCTATAGAATTTCTAAGGGGCATGTGCCCATTGACCAAAGAATGTCGTGCTGTAAAGTTGTTTTCAAAGATTGATGAGCATGTAGGTACCTTACTATACTCTGAACCTCAAGTTTTGAATGCTACAGGCTTTTCACCAAACTGTTACTCTTTATAAGTTGGAACATGTGGTACTGCTAGGTTCGTATTTTTTAATGTATTTTCTTTTATCATTTGTATTTAAAAATTGATGGACTAGATTTATTTAATATTTATTTCTTATTTTTTATCTAATATTTTTATCTTTTTAGGGGTAATTTCGATCGATCAAAAATAATTCAAATCGAATAATTTAAATTTAAATTTAAATTTAAATATAAATTTAAATTTTCGCAATTAAAGACAACCGATAAATTAATTGGTACCGAAAGGGCGGTTCAAGGGTGATAATCCTTCCTTGACCGTAACCGACTCTCGAACCCGACACGTTTCTGGTGTAACACAGATCAGGTAAGATGGTGTCCGACCCACCTAAATTTGTTTTAAAGTGGTCGGTGGCGACTCCGATTCATTTAATCTAAGTCGAAGCCCAATTCCGTGCCCAACCGAAAGACGGTTCCGACAGCTTGGCGACTCTGCTGGGGACAAGTAAGTGAATCAGGCCAGAATTAATTTTCGGTTGTCTTTTTATGCAAAAATAATAAATTTTAATTTTAATTTATTTATTCGATTTCAATTATTTACCTTTGATTATTTTTCAAATAAATAGTTGTACTGACATTTTTTTCAATGATTTCAGATTTTTGAAAAGTTTCTATCTCTAGCTCTATACCCGAGCTCCAAACCCTTTTAAGTGGGGGCGAAAGCAACGCCTTCGTGTGAATTTATTCACCGCACAGGCCTAGCAAGTAGCCTTCGGGATTCATATACCTTATGTCTTCGTGTGAATTTATTCACCGCATAGACATAAGGGAATGTGTCCTCTCGAGTTTAACTTAGTCCATATGAGCTTGTAATAAGCTTAGGACTAAGGGTCTGGCAAGCCCAAGGGGGCACCGGTAAGGAGAACTCGAGTACCCTCTTTAGAACCCAAAACGAGAAAGTGCAGGAAATTAGAGCCCACCCCAAAAACTTATTCCAAACCCTATGTTGTTTTGTTTCTTGCTCTATTTCCTGTTCAAAGCATGCGAACTAGACAAATATGTGGTTAGGATTTGTTTGAAATTAGCATGTGGGATAGAAATCATGTCCGGGTAGGAATACTAAGCATGTTCGGGTAGATATCATGTGGGGTAGGATTTTTTTATTTTTCATGATTATTTTTTTACCTCACTAACTTTTTTCATTTTTTGTTTTCTTTTATTTATTTTTCATCACTTGCATCATTTAAAAGAAGGTGTTGATCCACCAAAAACGTGTTTGTTAAACATGAATAATCTGCATTAATGGATAAAGGGGTTATAATACAAGAGATGAAAAGCTCAGAAGTCCAGCCACGGTCAAAGAATACTCAGAGACAAAGGTTGCAGGGGCAAGACGAGGAAAAAATTATTGATCCAGACGGTCCTTTCGAAAACTACAAGAACAAAGAGGAGACCATTATTGATGAATTCAAGAAACAAGCCGATAAACTTCGAATGGAGGGCTCCAATGGCACTTTCGTTAGAAATAAGCTCGGCAGAGAGTGAAAGCTGGAGACGCAGTCCTTCAAGACCTTTTTGGGGCAAGCATCTCGTCACTTACACAAGTTTAGCCAAAGGAGCCAGAAAGGTTCGACTAGATATTTAACCGGTGACAAAAAAGACGGAATATGAATCAACTTGTCAGGGGCTGCTCGGGATCTATACCATCAAAATGTTTTTTGTCTCTTAAGACGTAACACTTTTGTCCCCAATAAGGATTATTTATATTAACAGATACATTTTTTGGACCAATGCCTCGAACATTTCATGCATCATGCATTTAGATAGATTTTGCATTTTGTTATTTTCATTTCTTTACATTCACATTAACTATCTTCACATGTTTCATCAAAAATGGGAACATTTCGACCCTATTCCCATAACCTACAAAAAGCTCTACAAATAACTTTTTGACACTCACATAGTGTCACCATATCCGGTGGAACCCATGAAGCCCCATACCCCTAGTGGTATGATGAGAACGCTCATTGCGAATATCATGACGGTGTCCCAGAGCACACTATCAAGAACTATTTCATATTCAAGATAATCGTGCGGAAGATGCGTAACAAGAATTGGATCGACTTCAACAACTTGGGGGCATCCAAGTGAGGAAGATCATTTCATCATTTGAGGCATTTTGTTTGAATTTTTTTTCCATCTTTTCTTAAGTTTCTGTAAGGATATTTAAATAAATTTATGCTACTCTAAAGATGTTAAACAACGAATCACATTTGCAAACTTGCAATTCTTTGAATATCATCTGAATTAAGAAACTCTATAAATGGTTCAAAGTTACAGATCTTTAACAGGTTAACATGATAAAAAACTGATAAAGCAATGACTTTTGATCTTACCCAGAATATACCCTTGAACACCGTACCATGCTCTTGCAATTAACCAATATAACCTTTTTCTTTCATATAGTGCGGACAACATAGGTCATCCTTTTGCATATGACATTACTATGTTTTTTATTTAAGACATTCAATGATGATAATGATCTTCACAGATGGAATGGTCGAGTAAGTGAATCTAGTTTAGGTCAGTTGCTTGAAAATTAAACTCTAAAGATGAAATTTTTGACTTTCAACAACACCTAGACTATAACAGGTTCTTCTTGACAATCTTAAGAAATTAAATCCGTAAAGCTGAGCTATTCCACTAAGGCAATTGGTTATAGAGGAAACTTGAAAGCTCTGGCCTTATGAGTAGATTACATTCAAACCATGACATTGCTAAGACACTTGGCAATTCAGTGTTTGCTCCACTGCTTTTGTCAGGCCGAAGACTTTGTGATGAGATGAACCCTTCAGTTAACTTGATAAAAGTGATTATAATGTCAAGCTATCCCTCTACAGCAATTGGTTAAACGCCCTGACTTTATGGATTCAGCTAGCCAGATAACGGCAAATTAAATCAAATTTGTCTAAACAAGAAATTTTCGGTAATATTGGA